ACTATCGCCAAATGAATAACAACGACTAGAATAATTCAAGTCCTCAGATACATTTGTAGCCAACTTGGTACTCAAAATAATCAACATACAATGCCATGTAGGATGACTAGTCAATACTTGATCATGCACTGGTTTCAAAAACTTGTGAGCTTCTTCCAAAATTTCATTCCATCGAATACCATTACGACTCCATCGGCCTTTACAAGCAATACCCACAATCATCAAATTCTTCTCATTCGTTCTTCCATGCAACTTGAATAATATATCTGGACTATGGAATGTTGAATGAAATGGAATATATATCTTTTCAAATTCTAATATTTCTTCCACTATCCTTTCCCATTCATTGCTTCCAAATGTCATTCTCTCTGTTCCTGATACAGCTCTGGTATAATGTATAGATTTCATATAATAAGCAGCAGATTCGGAAGAAAATTGGAAATTCATTTCATTCCAAACACGAGATAATTGACCAAGAGTAGAAAACATTGAGCTGTTTGTAGGACGCCGGAAAAAATGTAAATAAAACAGTGTAGCAATAAGACCTTCCAAAATTCGACATTTCGACTCATAAAAGAATTCCATAAATTGAGACTTGAGAGTTTGTAAAAGTAACCATTCTAAACGATCATCCTTTAAGCCTTGGTCAATATATTCAATCAGTAACTTGGGAATCAACACTTCATAGCGTTCGTTGCGGTCTGGGTCTATAACCAAACGACGATAGAGACACATATCTGTAACTAGATCAAACAAAAACACATCAGAATTTGAGCTTATTTGCACAGTTTCATCAAAATCAAATCGAATACGATACAAAGATAATAACGTAAGCATTCTTAACAAGCGCTTACGCTGCTCACTGAGACTTATCAGACGAGGTAAGAATGGCGCAACACAATAATTTGTTACTAGAAAGCTATTCATTATGATCAAGAAGGTTTCCTTAGATAATAAGAAATTGTTGTTGGATGATTTATACAGCAAAAGGTAACTGATTGCTCGAACAAGTAAACCAGGAACACCACCAGTCAATTCCAACAACAATTCTGCAAGTTCACTAGTTGAGAAGTCTTCGTGACAAAGAATTTCTGAAACCTTTGGGCTCCCAGTGAATAAAAAGGAAGAACTTTTCTCCAAATGTTCCACGATACTATGGTTCTCAAGCGGCGAAAGAGGAATAAACACTAACTGAACTCTTGAGACTGAAGCTACGTAATTATATATATTTAAGCCTTCACTTTTCCCAACAACTATAAAAAACAAGTCGGGTTCTTTACACAACTCACGAATAATACCGATAAAGTCGTTGTATGGTAGAACTCTACCGTCATGGGTTCTCTTGAAATGAAACTCGTCGAGACTTTCGTCAAGGACACCAACTTCATCAAAAGCTATAACAAGATATTGATCAGAAGGAATGCCCAAAGTATTCCGTAGCTCTGGAATTAGAAACTTTGAACAAGGAGGAATGTATCTGTAGGCTTCATAAACTGTAGACCCATCTAATTACAAGCTGATCGGTACAATAAAAAGTACAAAGCCCACTCAAGTGTGGGCTCCAACTCCCTTTGATCTACATAAAGCAACGAAGCCTCTTTCAGCTTCTCCAAAAAGAGTCTGCTCGAAAGGTCCGAAGCAAAAGCCGACAGGAAAGTCTCGACAAACCTTCGAACCAACTCCAAATAGGTTTAACAAAACGTAGTTTTGCGAGAGCCAAAAAGATGGGGGACATGTTAAACCCCTGAGTTGCTTTCGACTGTTACGAAGATCATACAGTTCTTCTGTCACTCGAAAAACATCCCTTTCACGGTTTACTACATATGGGTTGTATCGGTTTGAAACATTACACTCAACCATCGTCTTCTCAAGTATGAAAAGTTGGGAATTGTTGCTTTTAGATGGCTTGAAACAGACTCTTCATTATCTAAGGATAAGTAGTATTGAAAAATAAGTTTAAAATAACAAAGAGGAAACCTTAAGCTCTTTTGTGAGCTATAATACTTTGGGTCATGTTATTCATATTTACTGTTATTTCAGAACATCTTCCTTAAAGAAGTTACCTCAAAGTCGAGTTCACTTGAAGTTCAAGTGTGGCAATGAACAGCGTGCTGGTTCGTGTTTCAACAGATGCAAATTCAGCCTACTGCGTATCAGAACATTTGAACTCTTTCAGTGAACTTTGTTTGGCCTTGTGATCTCTAAAAAATGAATATACTTATCTTGATGACATTATATGCTTTCATCCTCGTCAGTTATGTCAAGAACATTTTTCAATAACAATCCTGCCAAAACGCGATAAGGAAATTGAAATCCATATCTACGGAAGCGTAACTAACATTTGCAAACGGTAAAAGAAGTGCAAGTTTATCTAAATAGATTGCCAACACTTTTGTAGATGAATCTGAATAAAGAACAACTAAACAGAAGCTTTTTGCTTCCTCAGCATATTGGCAAGATATCTCAAGTTACTAAGCACGTAATGACTTTGCAGTGAGATAAAAACAAAAATTACATGTCTTTATTAGGACTACGACTTCTATAAGGCTTCTCATCATCTACAGGGAAATCATGGGCATACCACAAACTAGTCCATAAAAGCTACTTTGCTAAAAACTGTCGTATTCCTAACATAATTCGCAATCTTAGTGAAGGACTNTCGATACCGCACTTCAAAAGAAACTCTGTTGTCACGCCACTCAAATCTATCATTCCTATGAAGGACAACCTGGGCAAACAATAGGCAACATCTTCTTCNGAAAGACCACAACGGTCTCTTAGGAAAGTATTCCAATCNAATGACGAAGACAAAGAACTCGATGCTGCAACCCTTTGTTCGCCTCGTGTATCTTCTTCTTCCACTTGCATAACATTCCAATTCATAACTGGGTTNCCCCTCTCCATGGATTGAATATTCCTCTCNGAAGACTGCTCNAATGGTGCACGACTCAACAGGTCTATCAATGAATTTTCCAACAGATTTGAAAGTGGTCTGAGTTGGTCCAACCATAATGGATGGTCTCCAAAAACTCTNTCTAGATCTTCNCTNGCCTTGCAACCTAAAAAGGATTTGAGAGAGCTGGTAGAACATACTACAACTTGACAATGAGGAGGAATCCATAGCCATTCTTCCCTTGTATTCTGTGGTTTTGTCGCAGAATTGATAGGACTNGAGACAATATGATTGTTNTGGTCTTCNTAATAAATTCCACTNTCCAATACCCAATTTTGGGAATCNCTCAGCTGTTTGGATACTTCTGCAGTATACTTGTTGCTTACAATAAACTGAATTGCCATTATATTNTGATTCTCCAAGTCCAATTGTGACGCAACTGGATGTAAAAATTTNGCACATTCTGCTTTNATCATAGAACGTCCAACACCAGGACTTGACATTTGATAACACTTCAATGCAATCCCAATCAAATAGATCCTCCGTTTGTTCAAAATATCNCTTGCACTGGTTTCNGTTTCCATGGATATTTGCTCTACAGAAGATGCATCTTGTCCAATAAGAATAGAATTGTCGCTNGTTTGTGTTACTCGAATAAGAACATCNGGTCCACTGGAGTTTTGCCTTGTAGGAATAAATATTCCATCNTTTGATAACCAAGTTTCNAACAACGGCTTCCAAGCACTCACATGATAAGTTTCTTCGCTGGCACTNTGAATACCAACAACTGTGGAACTCAATGCTGGAACATACTTGAGAATAGGATCCTTTTCGAATTCTCCTAACACTCTCCGCCCAACTTTTATAGGAATATCTTCTACAAGACTNTGCCGAAATAGACTCAATTCNCCCAATCTGGAACAAAAACACCATCGAACATAAAGAATAAGAGTAAATATAATTTCNAACTTGAAACCACGACTNGAAGGTGAGTCNAAGCGACTNATGGATGAAAACAAACTNCAAATAAAACGAATAGGAGGAACATCCCAGCATTCNATTTCGATATACTTTAAAGCAATTTTT